TCTCACACCAAATTCCCAATTACTACTGAGCAGAATGCCTGCTGTACTACTAGTTACATTGATTGCTTTATGTGATAGTACTAAAAAGACACCTGAATACTTTATATATTTTGCAGAAAAGTATTTTAAGGTGCACAGTAAAAGATTAAAAGCTCATCATTTGCAGTCCTTGTTAGTGAACAAAATGTGAGCCAGTTAGACTATTAACAAATTATAGTTTGATTTCTGCAGTTTAAACAACAGTTACTAATTCATATGGACTTCTGCTGATCATTAGGAATACAAAATACGATGCAGTTTGAACTTCACTTTCTCATTGCATTTGGGCATAAGCCATTTTTCCTAATGCTAGGAAGGACTTTTTCATCAGCCTGAAGGGCTTCTTAATTCTGAAGAAGTCAAACCACTATAGTTAGCTCCAGAGGCTGTGTCTGTCTATCTCATAAACTGTATTGGTGAACAAAAACTTTGGCTTAAAATAAGCAGAAGACACAAAGCAGGCAAACCTACTTATGTCACACTAAACATCAACAACTTCAGGTTAAATTCCTTTCCCTGTATCTGTCTGAAGTCCAGACTGTACTTAAATGATATGGTTAATATTTCATGCACCTAAAGCTTTGTACGCAGCACGGTAAGTAAGCTTTTTAGCATGGGCTAAAATAGTGTACAGTAAGGCCACTTCTGTACTAGACTTGGTCAAAAAGAAGGCTTAACTGGCAACGTACTTCATACAATGCCCCCCTCAAATCCATTATAGAGCATATTCAACTACATTATAGTGCATATAACCCCAGACCTCTGATGATGATAAACTCATGAATGAAACACTTCTTAACAGAAACCTTAGCATTGTTAGTAATGCAGAAAACCTTTTTCTAGCTTAAAATAAGGTATGACCAAGGTAAACCTATATCCTGATTTCAGAAGATTAACCTGCACTTTTAGAAACAATATTCAAATCTGTGGTTTCCTTTACTTTCCAACAAAGAAAATGTGCATTGTTTTTTTTATATACATCCTAACTTAAAAAGCATAAAGCCACTTTTTAAGAAATGCTTAAAAAATGGTCGCAGCTTCCAATTCTTTCAAAACACTTAAGTAACAACTTACTAAATTAACTCTACACCATGTTCATTCAAAAAGTATTAGGGTATGCCATTGTACCTGGTGATCAGCAGCAATACCACCACCATTTGGTAAACGCCCTCCTAGCACAGGCTGTTGAAGTTTTACCATGTCAGGAAAAATCTAGGAACTCTTAGTGCAATATAATTATTTCTCCCTGCCACAGACCACTAGAGCCTGTGTGATCCAGTATTTTTCACTATAAGGCTTTAAATAACACACAGCATTGTTATCAAGTTAAATGGCGTGACAAAAAGCAGGCAACAAATTGAAAGGAAGCCAAACACTGCGTGAAGCAGCAAAAGCAGCTTCCACTGCCCTCTTGCCACAGCTGTCTGAAAAAAAAAATCTTTTGCTCTGAGAAGAGTACTGTGAGGTTCTGACTGGCTCCATGTTTCGTTATGCTTTTTTTCTACTTTTTAGTTCTCCGATTTTGTGTTATTTAACCATCCTCTAGAAGAGGTAAAGGCTATAAAAGAATGGAAGAACTTAAATGTGTAGTTTAAGAGAAAGAATTCATCCATGTGCAAGAAAATGACAGCCATTCTAAGAAAATAAGAAAGAAAGGGAAAAGATATCCCGAAAGGAACAAAAAGCCCTTAATTTTGCACATTTCCACCAGATACCTAACTTTGAGGAGTCAAATTCTAACTTCTGGCAGCTCAGTATTGCCACTGATGTCAGACTTGTAACATCCCAGGGCAGCTGTTCTACGCACAATTCAACAAGGAGTATACCAAGGACACTGCAGAAATACTTCAAAAGAACTATTTAGGACCTAGATCCTGTTCTTACATTTCAAACTGTAAATATCCTGTGTAGCCTTGCAGGTTCTTCCTAAAGCAAGTATCAACATTTCAGTTCAGGCTTTGTCTAAACACTGTCATCTTGAATCTAAATGAAAAACCAGGCTAACATTAGCATAATGACAGCAGCATGCACAGGACAAAACAGGAACTTCAAAACACAATACAATGAGCAAAGGACGACACTTCCTATTTAATCCACATACAGGCATGGATATACTGCAATAGCAGATTGCCCAGTAACTTTTTTCAATTCAAATGATGGCCACTTGTGGTTTGAAGTGTGCTACAGGTATGTACAGACAGCTCAAGCTGGCTGTACCCTTCAGTTCAGTTTGCATTTTTTCCTTCACCGCTATACCTGTTCCCAGTATGCTGCATCCATATCTACTGGGCTCTGGTGAGAACCCACCTGAGTACCGCATCCAGCTCTGGGGCCCCCAGCACAAGAAAGACATGGACCTGACCGAGCGGGTCCAGACGAGGGTCACTAAGATGATCAGGGGCTGCAGCACCTCCCCTATGAGGACAGGTTGAGAGAGCTGGGGTTGTTCAGCCTGAGCCTGGAGGGAGATCCTTACCGTAGCCTTGCAATACTTAAAGGCAGCTTACAAGAAAAATGGGGACAGCCTTTATTCAGACCTGTTGCAACAGGACAAGGGGTAATAGTTTTAAACTAAAAGAGGGTAGATTCAGACTAGATACAAGGAAGAAGTCGTTTACAATGAGGGCGGTGAAACACTGGCACAGGCTGCCCAGAAAGGTGGTAGAAGCCCCATCCCTGTAAGCATTCCAGGTCAGGTTGGACGGGGCTCTGAGCAACCCAATCTAGCTAAAGATGTCCTTGCTCAGTGCAGGGAGTTGGACTAGATGGCCTTTAAAGGTCTCTTCCAACCCAAACCATTCTGTAATTCTTCCAGACAAAAATAAAATAAAATAAAAATCAACGGTATGCTACAGATGCCACAGTGAAAAATCCTTTCAAGACCAATGAAACCTTCCCAGTTTTATTCCTCCCTCCAAAGTACTGTATGTGTCTTCAAGCTGTAGCAAGAAACACAATGACTTAAATGTGTTTGGAGGATATGCACTTCTCGAATACACAGCTACAGCTGGTTTGGCTAAGATGTAAATAATACATTCCACTCTTTCTTTCAGAGCAGTTATCTTACAGTTCACGTAAATTAACAGATTCTACATGTTCTTCCATGCCCAAATAATACTTAAGAGTCCTGATCAGTAATTCTACAGCAAAATCCTGCAATTTTCTCCAGACTGAAAATTGGACTCTTCAATCTGTTACTGTGTGTCTGAACATGCGTCAGAATTACTTTTTCCACACACGATCCAAAAAATAAACCCTTATCTTTAATACAGAGTTTACCAAATGTCAAGTGTCTAAAGACAGAAAACAAAAAACCTGGAACTAGCATCATTCAAGCACAGAAATACAAAATAACTAATCCTCACAAAACCTAATTACAAGGCAATAGAATAGAATAGACAATAAAGTTAAAATACAAAAAATTCAGTTAAACTGAGAAAATAATTTTAAAGAAATCGCATGTTCCCAAATCTGTATCAATTTGAGTGCATTATGAAACACACCTGTACAAGGAAATAACAAAACAAAAGGCCAGCCTGAAAGAGATTTGGGAAAAGACGTAAAAGATTAACAGCAGGCAACCCTCCACAGATGAACCTGTCACGTGGTTTAAAAACTTCTCTGGCTTAAGAAGCACAGTTAACTCCAAAAGGATTGTATAATGGGCCTGGTTTAGCACAGCATTTCAGTATGTGTTCAACAACAAGCACATCCTGGACTGCTTCCGTGGATCAGAACTACAGCGTTCAGCACCATAAGTCATCAAGCGCATATCCTGTAAGCTGTATCTTTTTCCAATTCTTGCATTGCAGAGTATGATAACTCTTTGAGACGGAAAGCAATTTAAAAAAAAAACTGAAGCAAATAAAGCTTGTCGTTATGGCACATCTGAAATTTGAAGCAACACTTCTCCCTTTCCTACACTTTTTTAATTTTACAAGTAAGATATGATTGTTCCTGTTTAATGCCTCCTGCATTACCTATAACTGTTTCTAGATATCCCCATTTACCTTTCCAGGTTATGTAGATAACTATAAGCATAGAGCATAATTCTGGTTTGAATTCAGTACTGAAGCAAAGACCATGCAGATTTTTTAAGAAGCAAGAATATAGATATCACAAGGCAGTCTTCCAGCAACTACAAAAGAACACAGAGAATAATTTATGAGGTCACCAAAAGTCAGAAATGGTTTGTTCGCCTCTTTTCAACTTCCTCAGGTTGTATTTTCATACTTATTATATAACACTGACAAATAAGCAGGTCTTTTTTCCTAAGCCTAAACAACCAAAAAATACTCCAAAACAGAGACATAACACATATTTAGCTGTTAAGTGACACACAAAAAGCAAGTTCCAGCCAGATTGGGGTGTATGCATGTGCATGCATAAGTGTGTGTCTAAGGAGAAGACCACAGGGGGGATGCCTACTTGGTGGCCACGGGAGTCCCAGAGAGGGGGGGAGTGGGGGTGGGGTAGGGGTGCATGTGTGTGTCTGCAGGATGGGGGGCAGTCTGCACCAGCAACTGCAGTTGAGCTGTGACCCTAGGGGCTTTTCTGTCCAGATACCAACTGGTGAGTCTGCGATCCAGGGTTCACCTACTGTGCACCCTGGGGATCTCTGCCCCATTGCTGGAGGGATCCATACTGTACATACCGTACATATCCATACATTATACATATATTCCCACTAGTGGAACTCCATCCTGCTGAGCCAGAAAGCCGAACAGGATGGGGCCTCTGGTGCTGTTTTGTGTTCTTGCGAGTGCTCTGCGTTACGTTACATGCAAGCATAGGCATGCAGTGTACATGTGTGCTGCGCGTGCCTGTACCTACGGGGAATACAAGCACAGTCTTGCTACTTGTCAGACCTGGGGTCACAAACCTGTGGCAGCCTTGCCTCTCTAGGGCTACAGAATCCAGCCCTGTTCCTCTAACAAAATCCACTAACAGTATGTTTTTACCTGAGAACAATCAGCCTTGGCTATTTCCGTAGTAGCCTGGAGTACATCATGAAGACTGTCTCCATTTTCTTTTATCAGTAGATAAGCCAGCAGAAGAAAAACATGGGGGGGGACTTGAGTTGTAACAGGTAGCAGTGATTTCACTGAAGACAACCAGTTAGTAACTGCAGACTTCTCTTTCATGAGCTCTATGATTTTCCAGGTTGTATACAAAGAGCTGTAAGAGCTGGTTATGGGTAAAAGGAGTTTGCAGGACACCTGAGAACAAGTGAAACAGACAAAATTCTCAATCAAACAAATAAGGTACCATGAAAGAACAAACATACCTAATTCAGTTCTGTCATCCAAACCAATTCTTTTTTTTTAGGGTCCCAATGCAATAAATGTAAAGGATAAATTGCAATACATTTCTTTACAATCCTTTATATGAATTCTTGCACTAAGTATATCTGAAAGGGTTGCTAATTCCCTATTCAGGAACTTCCTTTTTATTTGGCATCCATCATTCCTGTTCCTGCTGGTAAATGCAGTGCTACTTCCTCACTAAAATGGACACAATAAAACTGGAATACAATGGCAGCTGCATCACAAAAGTGTAAATATCACCTACATTATTTTAAGGAAATTCTCTTTAACTTTTGATAGTACTTAATAAACCACCACAGTTTAAATTAATCTGACTTTACGTTTTTTTATTTAACTGTTTCATTTCTCAGTACAAAATCTTCTATAGATGCAGTCATGGAAGATAACAGTTAGAAGCAGAAAAGTAGTAAAATACAAATAAGTAATCCTCCTAACTCATATTTTTAATATATGTAAAAGTATATGTATTTTAAACCTCCTGCAAATTAATGCAGGAGTTCAAAGCCTTTCTTTAATACAAAAAAGCTTAATCTGAGACAAACCATCTCTTTTCCTACTAATTTTTTGTTTCCTTAGAAAATGCAATGTTTTCAGAAATGAAATTTCTGAAAATTCTCCATTATCAAGACAGTAATTGGCAGGCAATAATTAGAAGAAGAACATTTATATAAAATTCAGGTCAAGAAAGTATTTGAAGAAAGATCTCCAAATGAACACTAAAAATGGAATTCAGACTCCAAGAGGGCAGAGGCCACCCACCTTTAAATTACCAGGGAAAAAGAGATTTTGAGTGGCAAAAGCCGATCTCCGTGAAAATGAAGAATTTCGTTTTAATAATTGTTCAATGCAATGTAAATTTGTTTTGGCTAATGGAAGATAGAATTCCCCTGTACTGTAGATGACCTTTTTAAAAAAACATTAAAATTAGCGTATTCCATTACTTACGCACTACAATTACTATATGTGAAAAATTCAGCAATCTATAATGTCATCTCTCCGGCTGGCAAGATCACTCTGAGCCAAAAATCTCCTCTGGATACAGTTGCAAAACTTGTATTTATTGATAAAGGTATTTAAACTTTATTCAAGGACATACAGTGAGCTAAGAGCAGCTTCAGGATCTGTAAGTTGTACTTTTTAGTTGCCTGCCCCTACAAGATCGTAGGACTTGAAATCAAGATGAGACTGTTGAATTTTTTTTGCTTCTTTTTTTAATGCCTGGAAAAAACTGCTAAAATTGGTAGAGCCTGAAATATACTGATATTTCCCATTCCACATTACCTCCCCAAAGGTTTTCCTACACAATTGTATTCACTCCTTTCTTCCTTTATTTAAAGCTACATGAAGCAAGGTATATTTTTACTTCAATGCTGCACCCCCATTCAAGGAGGTTAGGTAGAAAATTTCAGTCTGCCAACACTGAAAGATATATATATATATAATCCCTCAATAGCAAAGTAGAAGTGCAGATTATCAGTGTCCTAAGATTTTCCAAAATCTTGGGACTACAAGTAGAACAATTCCACATTACCATCACTGCCAAAAAACCAAAGTCATTGAAGAAAACACAGTTTCTGGGTGTGGTCAAAAGCAAAAAAGAAGCATACCAGCTACGGAAAGGCAGACAAATACCCATTGAGGACCACAGGAACCTTGCTAGGGCATGCAGAGATGC